AAAAAAAATCTAATAATCAATGAAGCATTCCATTTCATCCTTCAGAAGTGAAAACAAAGCTGGAAAGCAGACTGAATGTTGAAGAATGAAAACTATGTAGCAAATAATATAGAAAATTAATTTGAATATAAAGATGTTATAATTCCAAAATAAAACAACTCTCTGATTAACTTTAGAGAAACTTACAAGCATGCTGTCAAAAACTGCACATACATTCAAGTCTTTCATAACTATAAACTACCCAAATTCGTTAATATTGAGGGTGCTAAAGTTTCTTAGTCCCTATTTAATTGGCTCTTAAATGGTGCTAATAGCATAAGTGTCAAACCCAAGTTAAAACTCCTTTATAGAGATTGTATAACACAAGTCCTAATTCAAAACAAATTGGTGAAAACCATAGATCAAACTCCATTATTTATTGAAATCAAAAGAATTGAAAACGCAAGTGTTAAGGATTTCACTCTTTCGTTCCTTGTTAGCTTCAAGAATAAGATGTTCAAATGTTAAATAAGATTAAACTCCATTATTAATTAAATTCCATCTTCCATGTCAAACTAGAAAGGAATAAGACATTCAAATGTCATGTGATGATGTTGAGAGTAAGCAAATTCCAATAATTTTAGTTTAGCGAATTTCAACTTCTTTGATATATTTTTTCTTCGAACTTAAGGAAATTTATCTTCATACCAACTTGCATTTATTGTTCTTTCTTTAGCTGAATCAAAATCATCAAAACAGAAACATTTTCTACCAAAAATCACAACAAACATTTTTAAATTAACTCTAACAATGAAAGACTATTTGTGTAATAAAGAAAAAACATTTTTTTTTTACTTCCCAAAGAACCATGTGAGATTTTTTGTCTTAATATTGTAGCACTGCTTAAATTAAAAATAAAAAGGGGTATATTGAATCACAGCTATAACAACAACTTTTTTCAATAGAAGGTTCCACAAGCTTTCAATAACAATCCAAAATAAGAATCAGAGAAAAAGCCCTCGAACTTTGCCTATTAATTCATCAACTAAATTGATGCATTTATCATAGGAATTATATGAAACTAAACTAAATAAACCCAAGCACTTCCACTATGACATCAATTTTTATGAACAAATTTAAGAGGTACACGAGTTCTTGATTAAAAAATCAAGCACAAGTTCCCATGGAAAAACACAAATCTTCCAGAGAAATAAAAAAAGCAAGAATAACCAAGTAAGGACTTACAGGTAGATTTATGCTTCCCACTCTGCAAATAAGCTGCAAAAGGTTCCGTATATGTGAGGCATTGGAGAACTGAATTCAGATAACACGTATTTCCCAGGTTCTCCAATCCAGCACCCTACAAAAAAAAAACATATCTTTAATGTTCGGGACATGTACATATAATAAAACATATACATTTAAGATTCATGCGCAGCGTAAGTTGAGGCAGAATGAAAAACAATTTTCACAAGACCAAGGCATTCCAGAACATAAAAATAGAAGAAAAAAAAGGAAAAATGAAGCAAAGAACGAAAAGATAGAATGCTTGAAAAAAAAAAGTGTTCTTTCAAAATTTTTCATAAGAAAATAAGCAATTGAAAATCTAAAATCAACTGCCAAAATAAGAAAAATCCCAGGATAGATCTATGAAAGAATAGAAGATCCATAGAGCTAATAAAGATTCTTAGCAAAAGCAGAGAGCCAAAATATCAGGCAAAAAGCCAACAACTGAAAAAAAAAAAAGAGAAAACAAAAACCAAATGTGACTCACGATCCTCTGGAAGCTGATCCTGAAGCTGAGTTCCGGATCCAATCCATGCTCACGAAATTCCCCACCTGTCGATCTCTTCCCATGCGGCCCATTCTCCGCCGTCGAGGGCTCTGCACCGCTGCCAGATGCCGACTTTCGCTCGTCGGCGCTACCAGGGTTTAAGATTTCGAGGCGGAAGTCCCCTGAGAAGAGAGGGACGCCTGCGTAGGGCCTCCTCGCTGGGTGAAACTCAATTCTCCGAGAAAAAAGAGGCTGCCCAGCTGCGCACAATGCTGCCGCTGTCTTCTCCTTCACTGCGGCCTCCATCGCGACGGATAAGCTCTTTTAGGGGTTGTTTGATAGCAGGACTTAGGATTTAACCGAAATCCCGCCAAATATCAAAAATGACAGCTTTAAATCCGGGATTTCTGTAAATCCCAGCGGAAGGCGGATTTACGGGATTTAGAAGAGCTGAAGCGCGCGAAAGGGGGTGGGAGGAAGAGTGAGAAATACGATGGTTACCTTCCTCAACGGTATCGGATAGGATCGGAGAAGAAAAGGGGAAAGATGGCAGTTTCGTAGGTCTTTGTATGCCGCGATCCCGCCGTTACCTTCTCAGCTAGCTCGGGCAGCAAACTGTATCGCGCGGATTTCGGTCAGTAGGCGATAGCAGGTGAGGGTTTCGGGCCCGACAGGGGTAGAGGAGGACAGACTTTCGGGATTTTATTTTATTTTAGGAGCTTCTCATCATCGAGGAATGAGAGTGAT